AAAAAAATCTTTATTTGTTTAAAAATACGAATGGAGCCTGTACCCTATAAATATTTATTACAATAACTTCATTGGAATTAACGTAATACAAATATTTTTGTAATCCGTTTTAGTTGCATCGCTCGTAATATTCAACACTTGATCCAGGCATTCTAACCACACTCAAATAATCGATCTTGGCAAGATATTACAGAAATATATTAACAATTTCCTCACCTTTATTTAATATTCTGGATCTTTAAAGAAAATAATCATATACTTTTCGATATACTCAGTATTTGGCGTGCCTCTAATAAAATACAATTTTGCTACAACATGAATAAGAAAAATATTATAGACATTTGCAGATATTGTGATCCTCTATATCTCACAATATTTAAAATAGTATTACAATTGCTTACCGAAGTAGAAAGGCTTGGTTTTGTTAACATAGGCATATCGACATGCTTTCCATATGCCAGTGTTGGCTTGCAGGAGATATCGCTGAGTCTTCGGAACATACACCTCCCGACCACCGATGCCGCGTACCACAGTCCAGTGGTTCGTCGAGATCGCCAAGATCCAAAACCCAAGAGCAATGAATTGACCAGCCGTGACCACAGCTAAAGCTCTCTTTTCAAGCAACACGGCTCTCTTCACTGCTGGATTTGGTGCCTCCATGCTTATTCTGCTATAATTCCGAACTTTAATTTATAATTGGATTCAACATGAATTTACAACGGCGACGTAGTGCTTATGTTTTTTGTAATTTGTTTCAGCGCAAAAATTGAAAAATAAATGCTGTATTTGAAATGAAGTGAAACAAGAAAAAACTTCGAAATAGAATGATTTAGGGTCTTATGAACTAGGGGTTATAACACTTGGATGTTGAAATATCTGTGATTTTTCCTCAATTGTGCACCGTTTTATGATATCTTGTTAGAGAAATGCGCGCTATCATGATCAATTGTAAGTAATTTCACAACGATATCCTGATTGTGCATATACTTTAAGCAATAAAATTTCTTTTATTTACTCTGAATTTGTCATTCTTTTATCTGAGGGCCTGTATAATAATCAAATGACTTGTAAAAAAGATCTTAGCGAATATCATTAAATCACTTTTTTAGAGCGCAAGTCCAGCCTCTAACTTATCACAGTAATAAAATTTACGAACTTCTCTCTTGTATAAAACTTGAGTTATTCTGTAAGTAAAATACAAAGGAGAGACGGTGAAGCACGACAGCGATGAGGTGCCCCGCTGTACTGCCACTGGCCGTTGGCTGCACGCGCGTCGTCGCTCGCTGGTCAGCGTTACGAAGCTGCCAGGGTATGCGTCGGGGTCACTTGACCGTCGCTTCAGCCTAGGATAATTCAAGAATGAAAATTGAGTATTGCATTTAAACCTACAAATGTTACTGGAATGATATTATGAAAATAAATACATTCCCTGCTACCTTATTCCTATTTGTGTAGGATATGGCATTTTACAATAAAACCTTTTTTTTCTTCTCCTGAGACTCTTAAATCAATTTTTATTTTATTCCGTTTACTAAATAAAAATGCCTTATAATAAACCGCTACAAATTTATCGCTAGGTACAATGATGAGAGGGCTAGAAGTTTACTCGTATATTTTGCACATTGTACTGGGAGAAAAGAAATCTTTGCTCAAATGACAACTTTATTAGTCGCTGTTAAGGTTACAATGTCTGACAGCTAAAAACGTAACTCTGTAATTATGTATATTTTCTTTTATTGCTCAGTAGATGATGACTGCATATTATACGTTACATTAATAGAAAAGTCTGGTTATTCTAGTTTACGGTCGCATGAACAATAAATCTTGTGCATTATTGTGCATATAAAAGTCCAACAGTGCAATTCTTGTTGATTGTTCTATGTATACCATAGCACGACTCTGCTGCGTCTCGAGAGTACATATATAAAAATGAAATTAACTAAACTCAATATTAATAGTAGTATACCAAGCAAATTTCATTCTGTTCATTTGTACGTCAGTAATAATATCATTGAAAAAGTAATTCAGAAATTCAGAAATGAATGCGCGAAATATGCGACGGATATGCAAGTTTCTTGAAATGAATAAGGTGCGATATGCGGTTAATTTTCTTGGCCATTTCCAAAATGTAAATGTTAAATCTCAGGTTGAAAGGTTAATTGAATACACACGACATTGTTTTATTGGTCAGTGTACAAGGTTATTCTAAATGATGGACTCAATTTAATAAATACGTATTTATTCAAGTATAAATTCAAAATTACTAATTTATACACCAAATGAAAGAGAAAGATTTCTTTTTAGCGCATTTTCTCATTTATGGAAAAAATGCACTATTGTGCTCGCCATGTCCGTCCGTCCATCTGTCCGTCTGTCTGTCCGTCCGTCCGTGACATCACGTTTTCGCCGACGAGAAAATACGCTCTCTTTCACTCACTGCAATGAGTACTGAGTTATATTTTTTGCACATTTATAAATGTTCAATATGTCCCCCTGATTAAATAGGGATTTTAAAGAGTATTATATATAGAGAGAGACGTTTCTTAGTTTCTTCTCGTCTCATAGATTTTAATAGTTGGGTGACTCGTAGTGATTACTCCACCAATTTTAAGTTACGTTCAGGTTCAGGTTCAAGATACCGGTATTCATTACTTATCGTTTTGTCAGGTGGTCTGCCGAGTGGCATTTGATTTGGCACATGAATAAGGTTCTCTTTTTGGACAGGTTCGGCAAAATATAGTACAGAGAGAGGGTGTAATGAAACACTGATACATTTCATATTAAATTGAGAAATTTTGAGTTGCTGGTGGAGGCAGGCCGTAAACAGCGTTGCTGGTAGAGGCGGGACGTAAACAGAGTTGCTGGTGGAGGCGGGACGTAAACAGCGTTGCTGCGGTAGAGGCGAGACCTAAACCGCTTCCTTGACGTAACCCCATAAGAAATAGTCACACAGAAGTATACATATATGGAGGCAGATCTTACCATGGATCTTACTTTCCTGGCGCCCTACCAACGCTCAGAAAGTGACTGCATTCAAAAAGTTTCGGACATCAAGATGGCAATGGGGCCGCCAAATTCTGCGTTTGGATAGGTTAAAAAAATTAGGATTTTCTCTTTCCACCGGTGCATAAATTGTTCATTTCAAGTTCATACTTGCATAAATAGGAATTTATTAAATTGGATCAATCGTTTAGAATAAGCTTGTATTTCCCCGAGTACTTTAAAAAATCAAGTAACTTCAGAACTGAGGTAATATCTAAAACAGCTCAACCATACCATAAAGTTTTATTATACCGTCCCCACAGGTGCAAGTTACTGAGTCCAATACCTTGATTTAGAAAGATTAACACCTAGAAAAAATTGATGCTCATGGATTTACTCGCTAGCTTGATTTCCTCAAAGAAAAATTAGCTTCATGCCGAGACTTGGCGCGAAAAATGATGCATTGTATCACTAATTAGAAATTTGATTACTAAATTCAACGATTCCATTTTTTTTTTGCATAAGCGTACTTTTCATTGAGTATTAATTTGGGTTTTGTAGTTTTTCCTTGCAAAAGTATAGCAAGACGACATAATTCTTTTTTGCCTATTTCTTCATTTTAAAATGGTAATCTAAAGTTCAAATGGTTAAACTTTAGTGTGGTTGGTAAATAAGAAACTTCCAAGAATTCAATTCTAATTTCATTACTGAAAGTACAACAGGTTTACTGGGCATAAAATATGAAACTACAATGTAATTGTTATTATCAAACCATGAATTAACGTTCTATTTGCAATCAACTTTTGTACACTAATTGGCGAGAAATAATTTCTTATAAAATTAGTCGACAAATTGAACAGCCTAAATATTCAAATATTTACATTAAGGCATAATGTATCGCTAATTCACCACACGGGAATAGTCGTTAGACGAAGAAATATATCAGGTCCTAAATACTATAAGACTACAAAAAAATAAAAACTACAGTGATATGTAAACTCAATTTAAGCACTCTTTCTTAATATATTCGTAAAACGCTTTCGTTTAATGAACGGATAATCTAAGTCATAGGAACGATTTTGAATGACGAGAGTAAAAATATACATCGTTTAAATTCCGAGGGTTGTCTAACAGAACAAAAAAGTCACGATGACACGAAAAAGTTACGCGACATTTCAGTCGCCATTGCGCTGTTATATCCGTGTTGTATTGCGCTGTTATATCCGTGCATAAAAAAAATTTTCAGTAATTCACCTTCACCTTCGAAAATTATGTTTAGGGATCTCTGTTGATCATTTAATAGCGAGTGAGTTTACGTACCCTCTGAATTTCTTATTAAAATTCTAATAGTTCTTGTCCATATATCTTTGGTATAAAACTTAATTAGAGGAAATGAAAACCTTCCAGACAATTGCAATAACAAGGAAGGTATTCGTTATCAATTGAGTAATGGAATTGAAATTAAAATTGATGAGTTAAGAACTGAAACCATAGCTTTGATAAAGCCAACGGATTGAAATTTTTACTTGCTCATATGGGCCAGGAAACTTGTACTCCAGATTGCGCCTCCTTCTAACTACAGCGATAATTATCATTTACTGAGAACAAGCTAATGCCATGTTAAAGCTTCGCCTTCTTTTAAATGCACGTATAATTCCATTTGTCTGTTCGCTGGTAGTGTTGGAGCTTAATTGTACATAAATTCGTCTATGGACTTCCGTAAACAATCATACCTATTCATGTGACTGTCAGGGGATAAATTAACACTGATAATCTTGGCAAGAAACTAACATGCACTAAAATGTATGAATCATCTTGATTAAAAAATAGGAATCTTAGGCGATAAGGCAGTTACTGGTCAATATATAAACCCAGTCAGCGTTATTGTACAAAAATATAACTCAGTACTCACTGCAGTGAGTGACAGAGAGCGCATTTTCTCGTCTACGAAAACGTGAAGTCACGGATGGATAGACGGACGGACGGACGGACGTATGGACGGACAGTCGGACATAGCGAGCACAATAGTGCAATTTTTCCATAAATGAGAAAATGCGCTAAAAAATACAGGGCATCACTTGGAACATTAACCAATTCCGTAACCCATACAGCGTTCAAGAAGCATTCATCTCTACATGTCGTGAGATGGAGCTTCAAAGGCGGGCTTGCCAAGTAGGTTTGACACGTCCTGCACTGAACTGAACGCCTGAGTGTGCTGTATTCTCTCCAGGCCAAGAGCGTTGATGATCTAAAAACAAAAAATGCAACAGTTATCGTAAAATTATTTTGCTACCCCACGTTTTAATTATTGACAAAATGTGCAAACGCAAGAAATGACTGAATTACTAAAAAATTGGAATATGGCAATGCTCCTGTGTATATTTCAATGTTCATGTGTACCAAAAACTCAGTGCTAAAAGCACTGTAAAGAATTTTAAGAACTTTGGCATCGATGTTAGCTTCTCCACCTCTCAAATACTTACACTTTGCTGGCTGCGATCCAGCAACGACTGCAGCGTAGGAGACAAGGTGGGGAACTTATGGGCGCTTGATGACGATGAAGTCTTTGATTTTGAACCAATTTTAGCTGGAGACGAAGAGGCAGAGGAAGCCTGGCTGTGAGTTGGCTTTTTTGGAACATTAAAAAGTGGACGCCCAGTTAGAGGAGTCCCAGCTGCAGACGTCATTCTGATGCCTGCAGAAGAAGCAACCTGTGCAGCAGCTGCGGCTGAAACCTCGGGAGCAACAGAACTCAAGTCATTGAATCCTGCCGATGATCTCTTCAGTGGAGAATGAGGCAGTGAGAAAGCATCATCGTCGTCTAGTTTGGAAGCAAAGGAAGGCCGACCGCAGTTCTCCCCCGCGCTGGGCCCAATGCACGCTGCATATGCCATCACGTGGGCAATATAGTTTTGCTCGTGCAGACGATGGAAGAGATGGGACATGGGGCCTGTCATGAACGAAACTGGTGTCACATGCAACTTCTGAACATGACTTGGTCAATGCTAGTGGTCAGTGAAAAGGGGCATTTTCTCTAATGGGCTTATGATGACATGGATATTATTTGGGAATGGTATTTGCTACCTGTGAATCACTGCGTAATTTAAACATTTTCCTTCATTCACAATCCATCAGAAAAATTTATTGATATATGATGTGCGATTTGTTACTTATGATCTGTGGTTCAGTGGATGAAATTGCAATGGATCAGTTCTGTTATTTTCAGGGTAAGTATCCGATAGAAATTCGTTGTTTTATTCATCGAATTTACCGTAGAAAACAAAAATCATTAGCAAGAAGGTTGGGAAGCGCCTGACCTGCAGCGTAGAGAGCGACGTCTTCCCCTCCGTGGGTCTCTTGGAAAGCCTTCAGCGGCACGGCGGTCTGGCTCATGTGCTCGCCGTGCTGCAGGGGGTACTCGCGAGGATCTGCTCGCGTCACCTGACAAATCCATTGCTTTAGACAATCTTTTATACATTCTCAAATGTGCTAGTGGTTTCCTGCTTTTGTTGAATTCATATCACATCTTATTTATTAACTATGTTATATCGGCTTCTGTACTTATATTCGTTCATACAGTTATTTTTATTAGAGAATATGTTAATATTATTATCTATTACAGTTATAAATATATATAAGATAAAACTATTATTATAGTTTTGGTAAGTTTTAACTTACCAAAATATTGTTTTTATTTATTGTTGAATACGTTCATCAGCTGGTATCATTGTTGTTTGCGTTTAATTTTAGGGGGCAATATTAAGTGAATGTTTGGGAACATTAGAGCTAAGCAGCTTCCTTTTAGGGATGATTTGATAAATTTGGATTTTCCAGTGTATATATAGTCCACAAAATTTGTATCAACGCTTTACTTAGCGAATTTAACCCTGCCATAAGCACAGTTCTCACGAATTAAAAGCAAAGATAAGCACTTACATTCTTCCCGTTACTAGTGATGTTGAATCCAGGGCCGTTGGTGAACATGAGTGTTGTGTATGGCAAGCCATCGACGTCAGAGACGTCAGCGAGACCTAGGATGTCGTTGCCACGGTTCGGGTAGCCGTTGATGGTGAGGACGTGCGAGTGATCAGCCGTGACCACCACCAGAGTTTCGTCGAGGTCGACTTCCTACCAATAATATTTTAACAATAAAACTTAGAGTAAATCTGTACCGTCTATGCCCTTTCTTGTGTCAATGTTCTTCATCGTTCAACACACATTGTTCACAAGACATCCTATCAATAGTCTAATAAAATCAATTGTTTAAAATAAGCTCAAATTGAGAAAGAAGGCAATGCGTACAGAGGTGAGATAAGTAGTTTACGTAATAAATGTATTACTATATCGTATGATCATTCATTCCTACTAAATAAGCTATAATGGTAAATGAGACATGCACTTTATAACAATTTACAAATTAAACAACAAGTTAAAACATGAATATGGTTGAAATTTTTCAAGTAAGGATTAAATATTTAATTGGTTCATACTTTGAGGACTGCAGTGATGGCTTCGTCGAATGCTATGGTCTCCTCCAAAGCCTTCTTTGGTAGGTTGTTGTGATAGGCGTGGTCAATTCTGCCTCCCTCCACCTGAGTGCAGCAAGAGTAAATGAATTGACTTGACTCTATACACTGATACAGTTTAAACTTTAAAGGGAAATTTACAAAATAATTAAATTCAATCTCAATTATTGATAAAATTTAACTTACGAGCAAGAAGAAGCCTGCATCTTCCTTTTGAAGCTGACGCACGGCCGCGATAGCCATTTCTGCAAGACTGGGGGTGTTGCTACTCCCTGGTGCTTGATCCTCCACGAAGGGAAGGTGCGAGTCCGCAAACAATCCTACAATGTTACGCATCTATTATTTGTGACATTCTTATTGGCCCATAGACCACCTAATAATAATTTGAAGAATGAACTGTGAACGCATTTAAATAAATCTGCTGTTATTTGATCATTATACGTATATCAGAATCTTTGCGCTAAGTTGATGAGAAGTATTGAATTGAAATTGAAGTGCAATTTTCTGGATGGAATCATAATTGTTGAGGTTAGTTTAAAATCGTAACCAACCGCAAATGGGACATAACTCTCACCCATGACGTAGTCTAGGCTTGAGTGATCTAGACTGCGCAGCTCGGCCGCTGAGGTGATGTAGCGAGCTTTAAATCCAGCGTCGTGCTTAGATTTCATCCATTCACTCGTGAGGTCTTTGTTGTCTGTTCTGTTGCACGTGAACTCGTCAGGAATACCCAAGGTAGCCCCCAGCGGCTGTCGACCACCGCCAAGGATAACCTGGAGCCAAGAAACTATTCATGTTACGGTAATACCGGACATGACGCTTCCTTGCTTTTCAAAATTAGATAAAATAATTTTATTAAAAACACTAACTCTGCCATTGAGCGCATGTATTTATAAGAGTCTTTAACCCATGTTGGTTCATTCTTCACCTTGATGTTTTTGCCAGGATTGTGATGGACGAGCTGCTCTGCAATGTCTGGACACCCGTGGCCCGCCATGCCCTCACTCCTGTTACACTCCCACCTCCTGTTCGCCACGCGGGAGTAGGTCGCCGCTGGGGTCGCGTGGGTGATGCGTGTGCTCGTTACGATACCTGTGGGAGTCAGGCAGATTGACGAGTGAATGTTTACGACCAAAAGACGTGAACACTCAACATTAATTAGATTGTTGAGCTTCCATGGAACATTGAGAAGTGTACAATTTGTACTGTTTTCTGATGAAAGGTAAATACATTTTTCAGTTTCCATTCCCACTACTTAATGGCAGTTTTGTCTAGGAGAAGTATCGCGTGAGTCGTAATTTTAAGGACAATTAATTAAGCGATAAGGGCAACGTATAGGTATTGAGGAACCAACCAGTGGCTTTGTTAGCGTCTTGCGCCCATTGCAGCACGGACGTGAGGTGCGTGCTAACATCTTTAGACGCCTCGCAGTCGTCGAAGGGCACGACGGGGTCAAGCCCTATGGTCTCATAGTTGACTTTGACCCCACACAGGAAAGCGGTGGCCGTGGCTGCGCTGTCCGGAACTTGTCGGTCCACGTTGTACGTCTGGACCCAGCAACAGTGGCAACAATATCAAATCAGAACATTTAAAAGTTGGAAACAATAAAAATATTAAAAATGATCTCAGGAAGTAAATCTGCATATCATCATAAGAAAATGCAAGCTGATACTTTCTTGAAAATCAGACAAAATTTTTTAAAATTAAAGGAGGGAAATGATAAGAAATGGTTGTACGACATGAAGAAAAAGTTGATCAATTATTCATCATCACTTTTACGATTTGCAAAGCTTACCTTAATCAATGCATTGTTGGGGAACCTTTCCCACACGAGATATCCCTCCTCCCCGTTCATGCCCTTCTTCTGCCCCTTGTAGATCCTGGCGGCGGTGGAGGCTGTGATGCCCATGCCGTCCCCCAGGAAGAGGATGACGTTCCTCGCGACGTTCCAGTTGTCGCGCACGTTCAGGGCCGCAGCGAGCTCCGTGCGTGCCAGGTTCCACCATTGCTGACTGCCTGCACTCGGTGAAGATATTACTTAATAATTAATATCTTTCTTGAACAATCAAAAATTAATAAGATCATAATTCCTAAGGTGACAAAAACATAAAATTAATTCTTTTACTCTTTCATTTTTGTGTCATAGGCCTATCCTACTTTGCCTCAGTCGATTTGGATTAGGAATAAACAACTTGAAACTTTGTAGTGCCTGGCATTTTTTGTCACGAATACTACGCCTTATAGGCATGTATTCAATTTAATTTAGTCACGTCATTAACATTAATGTATTGATAAATGATTATTTGGATTGGCAGCCATCCCTGTCTACGTAATATTGTTCCATTTATTATAATTGAAGTACGCGGGAAGCATCTATAGCCGTCCGGCAGACTTCAATGAACACCTTATATTTAAACTCACTTTCAAATTTCTGAGAAGTCGACGATGCAATGAAGAGCAAATCAACGGCTAATGCTAAACTGAATTTTAGAAACATTTTAAATATCTATATTCACGTTTACTTTGCGATCTGAAAAATAAAAATATCGGTCAGCGTTTGACGAAATGCTCGAAGAACAATGGAAGTGCAGCGCATACTTCCTGAAATGTCAGCTGACTTTGACCTTAGAGGTAATGTTTGCATGGTGATATGCTGGTCCTTAATGAGGGCGGGATTGTATATTTGTATTTAATTTTCGTTTGATTGTTCACCCGCAGGTTATTTGTACGCGTAATCCTAATCGCTGCCTCGTTGCAACGCAATCAACAACAAAATTTCCTGGCGATTGTTTTTCAAGTTTTAGTTCTCGTACTAATGGAGACAAGACTTTGCATCCCACCGACTTTACAAAGAGTTCAATAGTTCGTCTTACTTGCATGCATTCGGAATCGATAAGTCAGATGAATTAAAGGCCACGATGGTCTCGACGCTTTTTTGCTTTCCTGTGTCGATAGAAGGTTAGCATTTCAGATTAATTTCATTCGGAAATAATTTTTAGAAGGTCATTCGAGAAGTACAATTTTTTTTATTAGTTTCCCTTCAGTCGACATATCTCGCATTTTTCAGGTAGCGCTCTGTGACTGGAACGAATTTCTTCACTTCAGTATTCATGTAAAAAACTATATCCTTAGAACAAATTAACGTAGTACGTAAACTCTATGTAATAATAATGAAAACAAAGTTATAAAATTGTTTAGAGAGCGGCATAATTTACAATAAATGAAATATTTACAAAATAAAACAACAGTTCCTATTGAACGCGACTATTCGTAAATTTTTGTGAATCATTGAAATTCGACAATTACTTTACTTTTCCCTTCAGAGGCAATTAATAGGCGCACTGATAAAGCAACGTTTATTGCATAAATCATTTGTATTAAATGAACTAGTAATTGAATAGCTCTTTAGATAATCATTTTTCTGGTACATGAAGAATAAAAATAGACATCAGCAAATGGTGTGAGGCTATATGATCAGCACAGATATCATAAGGTAAAGTCAGCTAGAGTTATCTTCCATAGAAATGCAGATGTTAAGTGCCTGTTGAAATTATTGCAATTGGCGAGAGATAGCAAAGCGATGGAATCTCTATGATATAGATTACAAATGTGGACATGTAAAATGCGAATTTGCATTTATCGATAGTTTACAGCCAAGCTTGTATTCATTGAAAAAATTTAGAACTATAAAATCCCAGTATCATCAAAAGCCTGATTGAATATTGCGCGCGGACGGCAACATGACGAGGCTCAATGAATGACACAAGTTATGAAAAGCATGCCTGGCATAAATCCTAAGAGTGCTCGCCGGAAAAATTCCAACAAATTTTTTACCAATTCAATATATATGTAGTAGAATTAGCAAAATCGCTTGTTACAAATAAATTTATGTTTTCATGTCATCGTTACGTGAATAAAAAATTTCTGTTGTTCTAGGGAACAAGAAAACGTAATAGTGTATCGAAGAAATACACTTTATAAGTGGCTATTTTTTTGTTTGACAAATATTTTATTTCATAAAACGTAAATGCGCAAGAAAATTCCATATGACATTCGTACTTCCCTACAATAGCAACGTCAACTATTCTTCTAGTGCCTCATAAAAAGGAAGACCGTGAGCACGCAGCCCTGACTGGGCCCCCACCGCTGGACGTGGCATTTGCAGCGACAGGCGGCAGTCTAGCTTGACACTTTTTACTCACGCTACAGTTTCAGGAGCCGTTATTTACTTGAAGGTTGTTATTTCTGGACGCAAATCACTTCCATATAAAATATCTAAAAAATTCTTATAAGTCACCAATTAGCTTTGTCAGGAAATGCCCGTTCGTTATGTCGTCTGGTTGAAAACAATTATTATAGACACGTCACAAATAGGGTACACACTATGCATGTACACTCAATGTTTAACGTTCTACCTTCAGCTTACAAACGGTTTAAATTTTGCGGAGTAAAACGATAAATTCCATAAAGTCACTATTCAAGGATGGTTGTTTGTGGGTTGATAATAATTTCACTACCGATTCCTTCCAGTCTTTAATTTTTACATGGAAATTCGCCGGGTTGTATAAATATTTCTCCTCTAGATGCAATATTAATGTCACGATATCGCAATGCTGTTATTATACCTGAAATGCGAATTTAAGGTATGAAACTATTTCGATGAATGTGACAGGTCATTAATTTTTTAGCGATGAACAATTATATTTGGTATGGGAATGTTAAGATTAGGATGAGCTTGTGCTTATGAGTTAATGATTTCGAAAATCCGACAAATCATAAATAGAACCGCCAGCACATGATTGCTTGATATTAAGAGTTAGCGAAAAATCATGGAGCAAGGGACCATAACGTGTCAAGTTCTTGAATATAATGTTATTGAATACTTATTTAATTAATTGTGCCTGGATAAATAAGAATGGCAAATTATAAATTATTTTAAATCAGTCATTAAGGATCTGATAAAACTGAGCACAATTTCCGGGAAAATCTTGTTTCATTAAATCCGATAACGAGAACACGTATATGTCTTCGTACTGTTAAGCACTATTTACATTCTCTTTCTAGTTCCAAGCACAGTCTAACTCAGTATAGTTCGTGAATAGGGCGCGGTTGCTTCTATGTCTCTACGCATATATTGAGTTACGCATCCATGCAGCTACATCGACAATCTCGAAGGCCGACATCTCGCTGGGCGTTGTTTACCCGCAATATCTGCATAATAAAACAATGCAAATCGTGAATCAAAGGAGAAATTTGTCCTTTGATTCAGAGCTTGTTGCCCGGGTTGTTGACTTTCTATTTGAGTTCATTTAAAGAAACGTACGCTTATTCTATGTTATGATTTAATCGGGCATTGCGGTAGTGACCTAGACCCTGCATCATGCAGATCTGGGCCAATGTCAGTCGGATTGTTCCGGGCGTGCCAACGTGGAGCCCAGAAACATCTGAACTCGCCGCAGGAGATTTGGTATCAGATTTCATGGCAAATATCCATAGTTAGTTCTGGCAGTATTGATTTGTATTTCCGTACACTTGACATCCGCGCTAATCAACAAATTGACGTGATGACAAGCGAGAGATGGTCCAAATGTCATAAATTATGAACTTACAGAAAAAAGACATTAATGTTGTGATATAAGTCATTCTAATTAAAATTAAGGGTATGTCAGCTGTAGCAATAGTATTATCAGCTTCGTACCTACAATTTTCGTTGCTGTATTGATTCAGAGTGCATTGCTTACAGCGTTGCCTTAGCTCAGTTTCCTAGGCGGAAACAATTGTATTGACCTTTTCGATGATGGCATGATCAAGATTAAGACATACAAATTTTTCTTAGTTGTGGGAAGCTGATTTGAAAAACTGAAACGGCTCATATGGCTTCACTATAAGGCTCTAATATTAAATACATACGGTAACTCCAACTTTGCAATGAGCATTGCAATTTTGATGAACGGCGAAGTTGATGAACGGCGAAGTAGAGCCCCATGTGAAGCAGTAAAACAAAAGAACTAAAATCTTGATTAAAAGAAAATACCGGAATATCCATTGTCCATCTCAACATAATACATTAGTATATTTCCAGCACCAACCATCCCGCGTCCTGAGAGCAGTGGCCAGTCTAGGTCTGCAGTTGAAAATTTAGGAAATTCTGTTCCTACAGTATATCGTATTGTCTTGTCCCTACAGTATATCGTGCTATCTTGTTCCTACAGTATATCGTACTGTCTTGTTCCTACAGTATATCGTACTGTCTTGTTCCTACAGTATATCGTACTGTGTTGTTCCTACAGTATATCGTACTGGCTTGTTCCTACAGTATATCGTACTGTCTTGTTCCTACAGTATATCGTACTGTCTTGTTCCTACAGTATATCGTACTGTCTTGTTCCTACAGTATATCGTACTGTCTTGTTTCTACAGTATATCGTACTCTCTTGTTCCTATAGTATATCGTACTGTCTTGTTTCTACAGTATATGGTACTCCTATAAACTTGTTGATTGCAGCATGTCTAACACGACAAGAATACCGCGCTGCACGATACGGTCAAGTTGTTTGCAGAAAAAAACAATGTTATTTCGAATTGCCGGTCGTGACGAAATGTGCTATAAGCTTAACCTGAAATAAAAATTTTACAATGTAGTTCATGACACAACTGCGTGTGTGAACTCAAGGCATGGCAGAGAAAATTTTTGCCAAATAAAACTGAATGATTTTCTCATAATATTAAATCGACACTTATAGTCAACTTGAGTGAAAAATGTTTCATTTCGTTGCACGATGAAACAAAAATAAATTAATGATTTACAAATGGCAAAATCGACCTCATCAACAGGTTATGTCGTTGTTTTATAAAAGGATATTCCGACTTCTTCATCAATGGAAATGTCGTTTAGATCAAAGCGCTCTCGCTGACTTCAAAATTTGCACCAGTTATTTCTGCAATCAACAACAAGGATATTTTTGGTCCGCAAGAACACTGTTGTTGAATATTAAGTATAAAATTGTTTTTGTCAGCCGGTTTGTACAGGATACTTCGAGCCGAACAATGATCGAGGCTTAACGTTTGGTAAAACTTGCGTTTGGCTCGTTTAAAATTCATTGAGATATCCTAAACCGTCAAATTCCAATGGTTGATTGTTGCACAAATACCTTATTTGAAAACAGTCCTCAATTTAAATTGGGGATAGATAAAACATTTGAGAAGAGGCATAGTGTTAATATTAGAATAAATAGAAGTTTCAGCTGTTTGGTTTCTAAATTTTCTCTTTGTTGCGAAATGGGATCCTAGGTTCGTAACAACAAAGACCAGAAGGGATTTTAAGCCCCTTTTGCAACGAAATAATTGAATACACGAAGACCATTATCAGGCAATTATCTCATAGAAAAATTAAGCTTCAAACAGTTAATCATCCTTCTATTAAGCAAAAAAAAAAAAAACTAACAAAACTGGTAACGGTGGGATTCGTATACCACTTGCCTGAACACAACTTCGGGGGGGGGGGGGGAGTTCCAAATTTTGTTTAGAATTGA